AAAAGACGTGAATTACCGTTCGGTCTAGCCTTTGTTATGAAGTTATTTTTGTGCAGCAGACGGTGTACAAGAGTCAGACCGGACTTAAATCGTCTGAGCCATGGTGGTGGCGTAAAATTTGGCAGCGGGGGCGATGGGAGGAATGGTTGAAATCTGGGAACATCCTTCTCTTGAATGAGCGTTGGACGCTTTTAGGTTCTAATCTAATAATTTGAGTGGAAAGGGGAGAAAATGAGGGACAGAACCCAAGATCTGACGTTCACAAAGCTAAAAAATGGTGACCGTCGCTTCTAGAAAGTGGAAGGAGGGCAATATTACCGAGTTGAACTTGCGTTATCTGGACTGGGTGAGAAAATCTGAATATACGAAAATATCTAAGGAAAAGATCTTTGACCTATGTGGAGTGGGTGGCAGGACTCCCACTGGTTATGAAAACGCATCTGCTGGGAGGAAGCAGCGGCAGGAAGTTATTCGGGACTTTGAGCTAGGGAAACTTAGGCCAGAGCATTTAACCAGCAAGTCAGCGAGACCAAGTCTAGCTGAATCTGGCAAACAATGAGCGCTTGCGAAGAGGGAGGAAATGTAAACACGATTTCGATATCGTCTACGAAGAGAGGGGCCTTAACACATGTGGTGGAGTCACTTTCGTCACCCCAAAGTTAGGCGTTCGTTGAGCAACATCTAGAGCTACAACCTCTGCTGCCCACATTATGCCACCAACAACGTCATGTATCCACCGTATTTGTTTCTCAGTCTTATAATGGTGCCGATTCCGGCATGGCCCTATTCGTTTTGACCCATTCCTATCCTTATACAACTACGCGCCGCCACACATTTCTTGGGGCTCGCGGCGGCCAGATTTTTTTCTGACGGTGGTATTATGATCGTGATCAACGGTACGCCGCTTGCCAGGCGAGAATATACGCCTTTGTATAATTTTATTCCAAGTGCGCGGTACCAGACTTGCTGGGTGGGAAGTCTCCGAGCAGTGCTAATTGCGGCTTTTGCATTAACATGAGAGTCGATAATGCGCGGTACCAGACTTGCTGGGTGGCTTTTGCGGCTTTTGCATTAACATGAGAGTCGAGTTATCACAAACATTAATTGGTTGAAGGTCTCAGGTGGTTTAGAGAAGCAAACACCAAACAGCTACTTGATTAGGCAGGTCACAGATACCGCAGATGAAACGGATGTCGCCAACGGAGAAGCGGAATATGATGGTGGATTTCACATCGTGCGTAGGATAGCTAAACGACGACGGAGCACCATCGCGAACAACCATTTCAAATAAACGTCAACTATGATTTTGTGTGTGCGTTTGTGTATAAATGAATGATTTGAGGAGGCAAACACGAATACCATTTCGCATTATCATAGCGACTGCTGTCGTGCATGCGTCGCGCGCAATCAGATGGTGTACTGTGTCTTGACAGGAATATCTATTATTCCGTATTGGTAAACTCAAATCAGAGCTTGACAAACACAGTATGGTGGTTTTAATGGAGCTAATCTGGTAAGCCCGGGGTGGAATCCGGCCTAAATTAACATGAATTGCTTGGAAACAACACCTTAAGATCCACAGTACGGAAATCGAAAAGGAGTAGCGGTGGTGAGAACAGGCGGAATACAGATGGGCCAGAATTAAGCGCTTCTGGTCACGGATCTGCACCTAGGAAGAAAGGGGCATGTGCATTCATTAAATAGGATCCACTGCCCTACAGTGAGTGAGGGTACATCAGTTACGGGCCAAGAATAGCCGGTAAAAAAAGGCGTTCTGAATACGGCCCAACATTAAACAGTTTACACAAAGAGTAACAAGACCAAATAAAATATGGTCTAGCAAGATGACGAAGGTTAGAAAAGGTTAACACCCTTTTTCATGAAAACGATTTCAGATAAGCCTGAATGCCAGGGCAGAAACCCTCGCCCAGAATTTTTAATATCGCTATTAGACAGAAATAGAGAGCTATTGGATATCGAGTCGCTTACATCAATGATGTTCAGCAAGAAGAACGTGGACCCGGTGGGCCGCCTGGAATAACTCAGCTAGCGAAGAGGGGTTGTCATTTGAGGTGCTGGAGCTTCGATTGCTAGATGAACGCACAACTGCCACGTAGCTATCATTCACGTAATCATTTAACGCCCTCTGAAACGCCTTTAACGATGAGAAGGATGCGGCCTAAAGTTCTCAACCAACATACGTGAATCCACTTCTGAAGTCATGGCACGGAAAATTCAATGTTGACTGTGCGCCAAAAATTAGATGGGATGCTGATTAAAACAAACTGCAAGAAATTGACGTGGGTTTATAATCTCCCGTCTAGGCATTTATGCAACAAAATACAACATTTTGGAGTAAAAAATTTTCTACCACTCACAAAGGTTTTGCACATGTAAGCATTACGTCTCTAAGGTGTAACTGGTTCAAAAGGACTTCCGAAGTGCTTTTTAGGAAATTGATGACTCCCTGCTTTCTTAGCTTGCAGCCCCCTGTAATTTACTGAGAGAACACTCGAAAGAAACTGTGCGGTCTTTTTGATCGTATCAGCGCCGTTCTGTCTTTAAATGAAGTTTGATGAGCTTTACTACAAATGCAGCGGGCGATCACCCTAGTCATACAGAATTCGAGACCTCAATGTAATCCAGTAGTTTAAGCACATTTTCGAGGAAAAACATCGCACGAAGCAAGGGAAGCCACGAAGATCACCTAACAGTCACAGCCCACCATCTTGTTCATAGTATTAAGACAGACAAGATACTGTACTACTTATTTCCCGCGAGCCTATGGACGGCAGACCGAGAGTTTAGCGCGTGGAGGTTCCACCGCTGAATGGGATGGCAGTATGTGGAGCTCGGCAGGTCCCCATGGCTCACGACATGTATAACTACTATCAGAAGTGTCGCACGCCGCTGTTGGGTAAGTGACGCGTAGTTTTGTTCCATTGTGGATGATGTGTCTTGGGTCCTGGCTGAGGTTTTCCAGTTCCGACGGTGCATGTGTTGCATTCGGGGTGAAGGGCCTTACAGCCGCATACGCTTTGCCACGTGGCAGCGGACAGGGGTACTCCGACGTTTCACAGGTCTATCGAATATTAATGGTACAAACGAGTTCAACTGACTTCGGTCATTTTGCGCATGAAACCAATGTGTGACCTGTAGATAAAGCTGTATATGCTCTTGATCACAGATGGCATGGATACCGAAAGTTCGTTAAAGTGTGCACCCACGGAAAGTGAAAAGTTTACTCCCATGCGTACAGTGCTTATAGTGCTCACGGAGATTATAGAAGAAAATCACCAAGTGAAGACGTTCGTCACTGACAAATTAGCTGCAAAAATGAGGGCTGCCGAAATTGTGTTCGTCTGCTAAACTAGTTTGTGCTAGTTCCGTTTCCCCAAACCAATCGGTGAGCACTATATACCATATAATTTCCGCGCATTTTGAATAGAAATGCACCCTGGGTGATAGCTGACACATCCCACGGTATGGCTTGCTTGGGCGGCTTCGCACGGTGGGTTTACATTGCATAATCTTTTCAGCACACAGAGCCCATCACGGACTGGAAATATTGCACCGCATCGACCCACGGTCCGTCTCTTATCTGCCGGCCCATCCGCTGTATTCCGCTTGTAAGTAAGCTACCCATTGAACACCGGGGAATGTCCACTTTGAAAAGTGCCAATAATGATCATCTCGAGGGCCAATGATCGCTTGTAAGGCTGTCTTACTGATAAATGAAGTCAAGACAGAGCTCACTCGGAGTGTAGTGACACTGCTCGGGCAGGGATGGGTTAGCCCACTGCCAGAAAAATTAGCAATGATAGAGGATTATGCTGTTTCTAATTCGAAGCAGTCCACTATACGGTTTCTTGGGCAAGCAGCCTATCACAAGCAATTTGTCAAAGATTTTCACACGACTGCTGCTCCACTGTACGACTTTTTGGGCAAAATCAGATATTCTAATGGACCAAGGAAGCACATGAAGCTTTCGAATGTGCCATGGATCAAAAGCTGACTCTCAAACTGCCCAGGGTCGGAGAGTCATGGATCAAAAGCTGACTCTCAAGCTGCCCAGGGTCGGAGAGCTGTTCGCCGTTGCAACGGACGCTAGTGATCGTAGCATTGGTAAGGTCGTCAAGCAGAGGGATGGAGTTATCGAATATGCCAGTCGTATCCCGACTAACGCAGGGAAGAAGTACCCAATCATTGAAAAAGGATGCTTAGCGATTTTCTGGGCCATGGATAAGTGGAGGCAACGCCTGCATGGACAATCTTTCATGTCGAGCTCGATCACAAACCCTGGAGTGTGTCGGGTCACAAGAGATCCCCGCGGGGAGCTCGCGCGCTGGGCACTTTGGATGCAATATTACGACTTCATGATCCGGGACGTGCCATGGAAAGAGGGCCACTTGGCTGACTGGCTGTCAAGACCAGAGGCTGAGAATGAGGCCCCGAGAATCATGACTAGTGCCAAGAGCATCGGCACCCAACCGGATCCTGTAAGTTTGGTGCAGTTCCAACGACGGGATCCTATGTTACGGAAGGTTGCAGCGGGCCACTTGACTGGCTGTCAAGACCAGAGGCTGAGAATGAGGCCCCGAGAATCATGACTAGTGCCAAGAGCATCGGCACCCAACCGGATCCTGTAAGTTTGGTGCAGTTCCAACGACGGGATCCTATGTTACGGAAGGTTGCAGCCGCCGTGTTGGCTGGAAGGAATATTGAGAGCGGAGATGTAGACAAGGAAGTGGAAACGTTCTAGGGTCACTTTGATCGGCTGGGGCTTAGGAGAGTATGCAAAATTTTTCGGGACGCCACCGATTCGGATGTTAAGCTGCTCGTGGCACCTCGCGTCTTGAGAAGGAAGATGATCGTCGAATTCCTCCAGATGGCATACAGAGTACACCAAGACGTATGACTTACTTCGGCAGAGGGCCTACTGGTCCGGGATGAGAAGTGAGTTGATGGATTATGTGGTGTCCCGTAGGCAGTGCGAACCGATGAAAGAGGATACGACAGGGGTAACCCGTTTCATGGAACACATTCCTGTCTTGGGAATCCGCGAGTTTTATTCCGTTGAGATCATGGGCCTTTTTCCGGTGACGACCAGTGGAAACCAGTTTATCGTGATAATGGCGGAACACCTATTGCGGTGAGTCGAGGCGGCGGCCATGTCAAATCGACGGGCGACGACGACCAGCGGTGTGGTAATGCACCACATCGCGGCCAACCATGGGGTGCCAAAGATGATCCTAACCTCTCAGTGGGGCTTCATACAGAACATGTGTGCATGATTTGAGTATCCGCCATATGTGTGGCTGTCACTGTGGCCTCGAAATACGTGCTGCTCAATGCCTTTCCCCTTTTGGAATCGCTCGACGTCACGTTGTTTATGTGCACCCGCATTTGCCTTAGTTATTCAAATGACCTACTACTCTCCGCTTTATTGGCGCCATTTCGTTGTGTATTCTCGCCTCTCCGCAAATGTAGCCATACTCGTGGTTGCTCCTTATTTTAATTCCCTTTTATCTTTAGCATCGTACTGAATTCACCGTTGACCAGCTGTCTTCTGAAGTTGAATAGGGGGCCGTCGATAGGTGAGTAGGTCGTTGTGCTTCCAAATAATGTTTCTTTATGTTTTCCCATCCTTTTCCGCTGTAATTTTGAAATTCCTTGAAAATCGTCGACCCCAATAATAGACGTGTTTGCATCCTCCCGGTTTTCGCCCTCACTTGTGAGCCACGCACTCGCTGGCTTTTTATTTCCTTTAGTACCAGATCAAGCTAATGTGGACAAACGGTTTCCCGATGCTACTGCTGACATAGTAAATACAACCATTTTGACTGTACATGGAATGTAGATACTGCACCAGCAAAGGTCGTGGACAAAATAGAGCGTCAAGCTAGTAAGCTGATTGAGTTACGCTGTACTTGAATACATTCATCCTACGAACAAGACTACAATTGCCTTTGCAGGGGAGATGAGCGGAGAAAAGAAACAGAACAGTCGCGTTGACAAAGCCACAGCTTTGTACCTGGTTATTCAGAAGGCGCTACGTACTTACGTACCAGTGGTCTAATGGTGACTTCTGTCGTGTCAACTAAAACACAACTTTCGGGCTTGACATATTTTGCTCGTATGTCGTCACTACTTCGCAGCGCAAAAACCCCATCTAGGTGGTCACTTAAGCTAAAAGCCCTTTACATTTGAATAAAAAAACGATACAATCTAGCGAAAGGCCGATGAGGGAGCAGCATGTGAACATCTGCAATGAATCGGACGTCAGACTCTGCTTATGTATGGATTCGCAAGCACATTTTTGAGATAGGAATTTTGTAAACTGTGCTGGTGTCGCCACCTCAGAATAAATTACATTAGGTGGCATCATTAGTTCGAGGCTCCCAGAAACAGCACCTGTCAGTCCAAACAAGTCGGTCAAAATCTCGAAAGGAGCCGAAAATCCATCAAGCAAAAACTCCATGGGTGGCACCAAGAAGACCGCACTTTGCTGGAAGAAGCCGGTGTCGTCGCAGCGGAAAGCTTCCTGAAACCTTAATCCTGGGCTTATTTGGGACACTGACACTCATCACGCACATTTCACAAAACCTCCGAACGGTGGAGAGAAACTTCTACGTAGAAGTGCAACAAACAAGTTTATTCGTGTTTAACTCAAATACGTCCACGAATTGACGTTATTTTGCTGAACTCCGTCTAAATCGGAAATGTCTCTAACGTTCTTGAGTGCACTTCAAATTCCACAAGCCTTTAACTCCTAGATCGGTTGCCTTTGGGTTTCCATCGTTCGGAGCGTCATGATAAGCACCTTGTTTTAGTGCATCCGGTGGGCAAGGAATGGGAACACCAATTTACGCTGCGGATAGTCGCGTTTTCGATAACACAATAGCCCATTTAACCAAGAACCGCTGAATCTGGTAGGAGTGATCAGTTGGAATACTACTTAACGACAAACGGAATGCGCAGTAATGGCTGTCCGATCCGGTTTTGAGAAAAAAGGCACGGAGACCGTCCTTTGGTCACCTCTCACAAGTTTCTGAATGACCGTTAGCCGATCAGCCGGCAGATAATCGAACTAGCCACCTTTAACGCGTTGACTAAGTACGAAATGCGGTGGTCCGACAGGTTGTGGCCAATGAGTTCGTAAAAGTCCTTACCGCTAGGGACATACCGACAAAGGCCCCAAGTGTCTATCAGCTCTGTCAGCTGCATTTTCAGTTTCAGCGAACCTGAGTTCAGACACGTTTCAGAGTTGGAAGTGAATGAGGCATACTACGGCCACGTGGTTTTCCAGAACGCAACAAGTGGTGTGATCTCGAAATTTTCTTGACATCACAAACTTCGGAGTGACATATGTGACGATTGTTTTTGACAAGTCCTGAGAGAACAATTCATTTGTGGCATACAGGTGTAAGCTATATACTTCATGTTTTGGCGTGAGTACTTGGCATTCGGTCATGTGTCTTCGTGGGAATCGTTAACTGTTTAAGGAGGATAATGGGCGGAGAGTACCGTACTGGAAGTCTTGTGGTGGACAAACTGGCACCTGGAGAGTCAGAGCGATGTACGGACTTGAAGTCTGGCTGTGCTTTTTCATTGTACGCTACGTCATCGAAAAACAGACATGTTCTACATATCATCTGTATTTTATGACCAGGCGCAATCGGCATATTCACTCGTATGCCTTGTCTGAAGGGTACCGCGCAACTGGTTTCTTTTTATTGGCTGAACAACGCGAAGTTCACCGAATTAAACAGACTAGGTCGCACTGACTGACGAGTCACCTCTCTCCACCAGTGAGTGGTCTCTTCACGCAAGACCTGAGATCGATCACTTTTGAAATGTAGCCAAGAGTCGCTAAGGGACACTTCTGGTCGCTTCGAAAACCGAGTGCATTACTTGGACCTTTTTTAAACATGCTACACAGGTTTTTGAAACACGGAGTTACCCATGCCATGCTCATACAATTTACCACTTGGACAGAAGGAAAAAGTTGTCAGACAAAACAATGTGGGACAGATCTACCAGTTTCTGTGCAAACTGTAAAATACTGTTGGACAGTTGATACTTGTGGTGCTTGGTGCCATTCCGCAAGACGAAATGAGCACAGTGCGTTCATTTATCTTCTGAATTTCGAGGATATTCCCTCCTTATGAAAAGATATTTACTTTGGTCATTGGCCTATTCACCAACGTCGATTTCCTGATTAGTATCTACCGAAGCAGTGAATATTACTTGCGCTCCTTTCCATCAGCACTCACATATGGCCTGCAAAACCAAGTGGCGGACAAAATGGAAATCACCGTAATCCAAACGGTTGCCAACGGGGTATTCGATATTGCGCCGATACTCAACATTGCTAGAGGAGCCAGCGTCGTTTATTGAGGACAGTGGGAAGCAGTCTAGGCGGCGGTCTAAACAGAACATTGGTTTTAGTCGAATCTACGCCTTGCCAATGGATCCTACTGATCGTTGGAGTTCAAGAAATAACGTACCTCATCAAACCGAAGCTGGAGATATCAAGTCAACATGCGCTGCGCCATCGTATCCCCCAGCAGCATTGAAGTAACTCTGTAGGTGATCTTTGAATGTACTCGTGCAAACGGCGCCGTGCATGGATGTGATGCCAACTTACACAAATTCACCCTGCAATTCAAGTCCAGTGAAAACACTCACCTATAGGGCGGGTTGCCGTAGCGTCTGTGCCCATGACGTAAAATTTACAGCGACTTGAGTGTTGTGGGTATATCGTCTGGGGTATTATCCTCGCACCTTATCAATCGTTTTTCATTCTACATTATAGGTGTTACTGGCCGAGTAAAGCGCTATTCGCTGTTATGAATCCAATCTTCGATTGTGCCTAACTGGAAGCATACACATCTATGATAGCCGAAACCGGAAGCACAATGACGACTGGAGGAATTTGCAAATGCTATGGTAAACTACGGCATACATCTGGTTGTTGCAACGTGTAGTAACGGCATTAATCTCAATTGTTGTAACGATATTTTTCTCGGTCTGAGCCTCCCAAGCTAGCGTTCACGTCAAAACAACCACCAAAGGTGCACAAGGCATATTAACGCCCAAAACGAGATCAGGAACACTTGTGCAGCACCTCATATATATAGCGTACGCGGCAACGACTTTCTGGATGCGGCATTGGCAACCGGCATTCGGCCAATACTGAGTCATGATTGGCTGCCGGGTCCAGACTTCCGACAAATCAGATCCCGTTTTGATGCCGGACCGGCAACCGTCCCGAATTCTTGGCCAATCTTGGGTAGGATGGACTTCTCGGCCGTAGTAGCACCTGACCGCGAGCGGTAAAGAGGGATCCGTGTGGAGTCCCACCTAACAAAACGAACGACCCAGACATTGCTACTTCCGTACCGCTAAGTCAGAAGAGTAGACTGGTGGCCCTTTTCTCCGAAGCTCTGACACCGAGTGAACGATAGCATTCCGTCGTCGAAAAGGAAGCCTATACTCTTATTGAACTGGTGACACTATCTTTCTGGAAGTCATTTCACACTAAGCACTGGCCAGTGACCAGCTGGTTTTTGCATACGACGGTACACAAAAAAATTAAGAATGGAAAAAAAACAATGTTGGCGAACCAGAACGTCTAGTTTCAATCAGATGTTATTATAGACCAGGTACTGATGGGTAGCTGATGCTCTCCAGTAATTTTCGTGCAACGGTCAAGGATGCCAAGAACCTGCATCCATAAATAACTAGAACATACTATTTTGCGAGGCACATTTCACCTACCTGTAAAATATGTTCCGAACTAAAACCGAGGTTTTAATAACACTCCTTGGGAACATCTGATTTGAACCAACCCAACGCCGAACGTTTAAGTAGACGTTGCCCTTATCTTCTAACTACTGTCGACGAATACCCCTAGATTTCAACTTGCACTGCACTGCCCTATCCTGATACGCTTACTTCTACTGTTATCAGCTGCCTGTTTTAGGATGCCGGTTGTTATTCATTGTGACAGGAATTCATCACTTTTCTCTGCGAATTTCACTGACCCATTGTGACAAAGAGATGGTCGTGAGTCACACCACTTTATAAACCCACAGGCTAATGGTCTGCTTGGATGACAAAGTGAGACCCTGCGGAGAACTGTAGGTCCGCCGCCAAAAAGTAGAAATATTCCTGAGGGAAACTACTCACAAGGTTGCTGAAAACTCTTCGACAGCAACCCTGTGAGTAGTTTCCTTTATGAAAATATACTGCGATATCTCGAATATCGTGCCAACTGAATCATGAGGCGGCCTGTGTACAGCACATTCAGTTGTAGAATATCATAAACGAGAGATTCAGTTGAGTCTCTCGTGAAAACTAAGTTGATTTGCAAATGAGTGTATTTCTCGAAATATTCCTATTACCTATTTAAAAATGGCTCTTCCCGGTGGTCCTAAAGCGGTTTCAGCTGAGAGTGGGATAGCTGCACCACAAAGTCTTCATGAATAAACATCAACTGAGGAAAAAACCCAAGGCAATCACGATGACTTGAAACAGCTGTAGTAAAAATGAGCCGAAAATTATGACAAATAATGTACAAACAGTTGAGTAAATGCACAAATCCAGATTTGACTACGCGCACTTCTTATCCACACATCCCTTGCCTAACTCGCTGTACTCGTGACTTGAGATCCACATTTGTTGGAACGTCCCCTAAACAGACAGAGGATTAGTGTGAAACAAATGAAGAGATACCAGAGAGCCCAGAATAGATCCTCCGATCCAACTGGAATAACGGCGCTCCACTACAGTACTGGGGAAATTCACCTTTAAACGCATACTCTGCGAACGAGAGGAATGGACAGTGTGAAACGCACTCCACGCTTACCGGTGGGGTTTTCATGTTCAGGTCTCGTTGAAGTCGATCCGTGAAACCGGTGATCAGACTGGTACCTCCTACAACCACAACGTTACTATACAAGCTCTGAAAGCCAAAAAGCAATTAGTATGTGCACAAACTTACTGGTCTTATATCAATATCGCATAGACTTATACTGCTGGCCACAATATGGCTCATGGAGAGCATGGAACTTCCTCCAGACTCCTAAGATACAAAGGGGTGGACATTAAACAGTTGTAGAGAAGACACTCACCTGTAGAATTGATGGATCGAATAGGGCCTCAGGGATTTGAAACCGCTCATGTCCTAATTCGAAGTTGTAGCCGTTGGGGAACTCATAGCCAACCATGGGAAAGGTATCTGCTTGGCTGTAAGATGGATGGGACGAAATACCTTTTGTTCCGCATAAGTGGCGAATTGTAAAGTGAAATAAATACACTGATTTCACGTAACAGAGACTTTTCAAAGGGACTACCCAGTCTTAGTTATTTTGCCTCAGGGGGAAGCATGCTATCCCACCTCAAAGGAAAGTTTTCTTCAGGGTGTTAATTTTTCCCAGTCCATATTGTTGTACCAGAAGGCCACACGTATGATTTGCATATAAGTTGAACACTATCGACAAGAGCGGTGTTTTTCAATCCAAATCCAGAATGGCACAAACCTGTAAGTGAACACAATCTAAGCTGAAAAGCTGTTTCATTTACATTGAAAATCACCAGCAATGCTCATCCTACAAAACTCAGGAAGCTTCGAACCCGCGACCTCCTGGCTAATAGTCGGAACACTTAACCACCCGACCACGAACGGCTGATCAACTGACTGACTCACGCGTAGACACGGAGCGAGACCGCGAAAAGTGCGGTCTTATTATGGTTGCTAGCCGTTTTCCAGGGATTTTTACCATCGGTTCCTATATAGTTTGTTCGCGATAGTGTCTGAATGTTTGGACACCTCCAGCACCTGTGATAAGGTAGCGCTAGGTTCCTTTTCTTTATTTGGCTCCCCTTTTGTTGAGATTCACATGGCTGCAACGTAATTGGGCTGGAACTGGCACTCCTGTAGCTGCGATGGGTCAGATACCCAAGATGGAGAGAGATAAGCGGCAAGATTGAGGCTATAGAGAAACGCCATCGAACGACCAAAGGCAATGGTTATCGAGTGCATACGGTAGATAAGAATTAATCTGTGGCGGAGAAAAATACTCATTCGCCTATGCTTGACAGTCAAACTACGTCATCACGCACACCTCAAGGGGGCAGCAGAAAGGCTACGTAAACTCCCGTCGGCGGACTGCAGTTGAGTATAGGGCAACACAAGACCTAACCTCGTTGCTTTGCTGTTTTTTTTCAAACAAATGGATATAGCACAAGTGTATAACCTGCACAGAGACTAGTTCATCCAAACGAAGACCACTTATGAAAAACGACCCATCTGTTGTTAGCTGGGAAGTCAGTTTGTCTTTGGAAGTAATAATGAAAAAGTAATGAACGCACCCCACATTCTGATAATAATGCTGTGATACACTGAATCTAGTAAATAATCCTAACAAGTACACCCTACGAAGAACCACAAGACCTACCTCGTTGCTTTGCTGTTTTTTTTCAAACAAATGGATATAGCACAAGTGTATAACCTGCACAGAGACTAGTTCATCCAAACGAAGACCACTTATGAAAAACGACCCATCTGTTGTTAGCTGGGAAGTCAGTTTGTCTTTGGAAGTAATAATGAAAAAGTAATGAACGCACCCCACATTCTGATAATAATGCTGTGATACACTGAATCTAGTAAATAATCCTAACAAGTACACCCTACGAAGAACACCTTTGTCGTCCACAGAAAAATTTACCAGTCGAACAGAAGTGCAGCTGATGCCACCAGCGTTATATTTTGAAGAAGTCTGTAAGTTTTGTCTGTTGAACGCACTTCTCGCTTGAATTCTGTCAAGGATGAGATCAACGTTTGGAAGTGTTTGAGGGAAATTATTGAGTCTTTCGCAAAACAACGTAGGCGCCCAACCGCCCGGTTCCACAACTTCGGGACCCCAATCTTCCTTACTACAACCAACAGCATCAGCTTAAAAATGATTGAGCAAGCAAAAATCAATAAGGTAAGTTGACGAATTTTCCCATCGAATAATTTTCGAGGGGACTGAAAACTGGTAGCTCGTCGATTACATGGTACACCTACGGTACTGCTTTTGATTCCGCACGTAGCAAAACCCGTTTGGATAGTCTCGACACTGATGTTCGGCCAAGTGGTATCCAGCAATGTGGTTGTTCCCAGAATACCCACCTAGTAACTTTACGAAAATGCAGAATCACATTGCCGTCTGGAAATCGATGATACGAATGCAATATCTGTATGAGACGCGTCACGTAGTGCAGTAGTCGTGAACGATAGTCTAATCCAATCGCTCGTTACCCCGCCGTCCAAAGGCGCGATGTAGTGCTTTGAGAGAAGAGAATCAGCTTTACTATACTGCCCAGTAGTCATGAACAGACAGGCCCAGGCCCGCACGATTGCATGACCAGAGTCAAGCTGCGCACACCAGAAGGAACGACAGTCCTTAACTGAGGCTTTCCTTCGGTAACTGATAGCCATATGATCCAATTGAATCCAAGACTGTCTTGTGGTAGGTGGCCTTCAAAAAAATCGATGTGAGCATTTGTGTTGGAGGTCCGTACTAACCAGGAACAGACGATAATCTGCACACAACTGGAGAAGCCGTTCCCCATTATCCGTACGCTCGGTATTAACTCTAAAGCTGTCACCTATTTGTCTTCTTCCGGAATCAGTCGTCCAAATTGGAGATTCACATCACCCGCCAGGATTACCTATATCCGTCCTTCTTGCCGACCGAAGTAGTCTTGACAGATCGTGATAAAACTCGTCCTTCCCAGTCTCAGAACTGCAGTCTATTGGGGCATGCTGATACGACAAACACCGTTTACCACATAGACCTGCATTAATCTTAATTGGGTCAGACAACCTCATAAGGTAAAGGCAATTTGTTTACTAGGATCGAGTTCAGTAAGGCACTTTCAGCCTTAGGGCAGAGCTCATCCTAAGCGGCTTGAGGAGCATGATTGAAGTGGGGTCTTGTGCGCGTGTTTCGGAGACATAACATGTATCGACAGAAAGGGAAAGCAAGGGAAGCCTGCTTCCCAATTCGACACAGAGTATGGATATTAAAGGCTGCAACGTAGATAAGGTCTTTTTAGGTTAGTAGGTGATTATTTTAGTTTGTTTTTCTGGGCGATGGTAGAGACACGGAACAGTGGCTAGAGGATTTGCCTATTGGTTGATTTCAATGTAATATACATGAGGGGGGAGGCCGATGAGCGAAAAGCTGCAAGGGCAAATGATACTTCCCGGTTGCTCAGGCCGAAGAAGGGGGTTTAGTTGAAGTGGTTCACCATAAGTCCCTCACTCAAAAGTCTGGACCACGAGACAGCGGTTGTTAGGGTTTTCTCGGGGAACCCTTCCCCCAGCCATACTCAATAATCAGACCCAGTTGGCTGCAGGGGGCGTCCTGGCCCGCGGTTGCAGGGTGAGGCATTAATGTCACACTACTTGTGTACCTGCGCACATCAGGTGTCTTTTGACCGTTACCAGACTCTGGTTTTGAAAGTATTTCGACCGTATTGAATAATGGGCCGGCGGTCACGGTGAACCGTTGGGCGATCGGAGTGTGCGGTTTTTGGGGCCGGTCTTTTCTAACCCGTCCTTCCTCGAGGGAAGGCAGCATCACTGCTTCCATAAATATGTAGTTAGCAAGGCACTCCAAGAGTCAACCACCGTGGGACGTGATTCTAAGATAACCGGAAGCAAGTCGCAGCCATCTGATACTGTCCACGACAACTACCCCCCATGCCAAACCAACGCGTCATAGAAAACAAACCATCGAAAACGTCGGAACTCACCTTTGATCATAACGTTCGTCGGACACTTGAAGGACGGATGCAACGAAGTCCTGTAAGAGGTTCTGAAAGATGCAAAAGGCATGAGAAGTTAAAGCCAAGCCTTCGACATGTTGGACAGAGGTAACAACAGGCACGCGCAAGTAAGCAAACGGGCAGTGTTTTATCAATAAAAGGGGCGCCGTTGTTTTGAAGTTTGCCGTATTTAAAAACGACAAACCAATGCATCTTTGCAACAGAGAAAAACGCGAATTCGTGATTTCAGGAAGCGAACGCAACAACACTAACTGCCATACGCTTGGGCATCACATACTACTCGAGCACTCGAGGTTGCTGACAGCTGCGACGGAATCAGCACCTCTGAACGCGTCGTAACACCAGCATGTGAAAGTGAGAAACACTGTCTAAATGCACTCGACCTTAATTTAACTTGGCGCCAAACCGAAGCGAAGGCCAATATGACTAAGAAAACTTCGTTTTCCGATCAGTATAGGGCTACAGATTAGTTTCAGTCGTTTAACTATAGCACACACTTCCAAAAAAAAACAAGAAAACCAGGATGAGGGCGAACAAACCACTTATGTGACCGCAAGCGAAACCATTTGATTGCATTACGAAGAGGGAACACTGTGTATGCAACGCTAGCACATCGCAGAAACGTTTCTAAGCTCTTCCTGAAGTCACAGGTTAAGATCGTAGTTCGGTGCATCGTACCGTTTAACATCCGATTCCAGGTATCTATCGGATATTCTTGACTTAGTTCAAGATACAAAGGCCTTACTGAATGCGTTCAAACCCCCAAAACGGGTCGGAAAATTCGACAGTTTTGACCCCACAATCCCTGGAAAGGAACTGCTGCCTTTCCGAAACTGTTGGACGCAAGTATTGTCTAATACATAAGTTGACGTCTGTGTAACAAAGCATGATGAGATGTCGGGACACTAAATGTAACCTCATTGGTCAAATTTAGTTGACTTTGGTGGCGCTCAAGAATGCCCTCGAAGGCGGATAACCAGACAGGTTCAGAAATACGACCTGTGTGAGTTGGTTGGGGGGGGGGGGTCTCATGTGGATATTTTGTGCTTAAATCTCAACACAGACGTATTAGATCAGCTGCCTGATCACTGATGTGCTTAAATCTCAACACAGACGTATTAGATCAGCTGCCTGATCACTGATTTGCTTGTGTTGGGAACATGTGCCTTTGGAAAGAGGGAGAAATCCCAGGTTATCAAAGGAGAGCGCAGATGGATTAGGTCTGTAATAAAGGGAGGTCCTCATGAGACGCGACTGATCGAGTAATGGGAATCCGTGATCGTTCTTCATACCAGTTAGAAATAGTGAAGCTGTTACATATGATGCATAAGCACGTGACAAATAGCTACTGGTTTTTTTCTCTGAGTTACGTTCATTTAGCTTCTTCGGGCACGGCAAATAAACGCGAAGGCCGTGGTTGGGTCTCAGTCAAGAAAAAGGGGGTTCGTAGATCCACCATCACTTCGATTATAAAAGCTTTAACATGGCGCATTACCTTTCAACAGCCGTCGCAAGATAAGTTCTCACCTGCTGGAGGGTTGAACAAGTGGAGTGGACACTCATGGGAAAAGCGCGGATATTCAGAGTATATTCTGAGGTCCACCATCAGACAGAGTTACCAAACCATTGGGATGTGGTCAGCAAAAAGTCATTTCGCGAAGTTGCTTAAGAGGAATGAATAGTCTTGACACTACCTTTACATCGAAGGGACAAGATGGCCCAAGTGGTTAGAGCGCGAATTCAATGGCCGGAAGGTCGTGATTCGAACCCGACTTCTGCCCCTCGAATTCCCCTATCTACGCTTGGGCAACCCGTGCTTCCTTCGGACGGCATGGCAGTTAGGCACCGAAAGGGTGCTACAGCTGAATGATTTTTTTTACCTCAAAGACGACCAGCATGATCACCAAAATAAAGAAGAGATTTGTCCAACTTCACATGCGATCTCAAAACAAGAAGTGTGCCTACTCTGAAGAGCTGTGGTGTGTAGTCTGTGGCTGCACTGAGACAAACAGGGCTGACAAATCTCCTAGCAAACCAACAGCTAGGCGGTAATGTATGGACAAGAACTTAATTACAGGTTTGACGATACTAACGTATTAGCTAACGCCCGAACTCAGGTTTGCACTCAGGCAACACGATGCAACAGTCACACTTCTGACAACCCAAGCTCGAAAGAAATACTGGCTTGTGAACAATTCAGGCTAGCTTCGTCCCATATGGAATGTCGAATATGTGGTCCACCAGCAGACTCAATTATGAGGTGGAAGCCAATCCTCTTGTTCATAGCCAGCTCAGATTGTCGGGGCATGACAATTGTACCACAATCTACCCCTTACGGTCCTGTCACATCACACAAAGCCGACCAACACTAACGCACAATGAGCAATGCCACACAGGATTTGCGCTCAGACCTGTGTATATTCACCTGGACGCCCCGCACACGATGAGGGAGTTGAGAGCTCCCAAGCGCGTACACATAGATTAAAGATAGAGTGGTAGGAGATTGATGCCGAGACCAGGTAAATGTCCCAGGCAAGGGGGCACAGACTGGGAACACAATTAAGCTGCACTCGCAAACGCATACTGTTAATTGCCTTCCAATCTCTTAATACTGGCCAGCCATCTGCCCATCAAGTGTAAGGTCGCTGGTTCGACTCCACCTCAAAACAGTTCTCCCTCGTTAGGTGGGGTGTACATAAAGTCTGTCTCAAGACAAATCATCATCATCATCATTGTCAGCTGTAATAACCGCGTACTCGTCGTACAGTGGTTGCAGCTGCCGCAGTTTCGTTCACCGATGATTTGGGGGAGGGGATAGGTAGCTGCGCATTGCAGGGGCGAGCTGGTAAGTTGGTGCATAAATCCAGCACTTTCAGTGGGCTGTCAAGTGGGGGGGTGGAAAAGGAGCTATGCATTGAAGGCAATAGTTTGGATGCACGAGCGCCATTGAGGGCGCGACTGGGCCATATCTGACAATGTCTCCAGCCATTGATGTGGCCCGTCTCGGGGTCCCCATTCAGGAAGACGGCAATTACCAGCGCAGCTGAGTTTTCTGGTAATGGCTTTCACACTTCGCTGCCAAGTCATTGTTTGAACGCCTCTGGCTCTCTTCCACTCTTTACTTGGTTAGGCGAAAAGAGCCCTTCGAGGAAGTCGGTCGACTGGCATACGCAGCACGTGGCCAAGCCAGCGCAGCTCAAGACAAATTAGTTGTACTGGAAGCGCACGGCAACAACGAAATCGTGTACTGGATGATACCAGGTGAGAATTGTAGAGGGAAAAAGGCGAAACAAAGGAGCCTTAAGCACTAACTGAGTGAAATTTCAACCAGCTAGTGTTATTGTCCATCAGATTCACTATGACAGACCAGTGTGAAGTGGTTACAATCAAGTAAAAAGTAGAGTGCGTGAGGCGCAGTTAGAATAAGTGCAATTAGTTTTAGCCCCGCTACTTGTACGTGTTGGTGCAGCGGATCGTTTTAGGTAATCCCGACGTACAGCGGTGGTGCGGTGAAAGCACAGTCGTGCCAAATCTTATATCTGCATTTCCGTAAACAGAGGTGCTGAATAACTCAGTTACTTTGAAGTGAGAGGCTTACATACACAACGGACAAACCAAAATATAGGCGCCTAAGGTTGGAACTGAACCACCAGACTCTTGTGGAACGCGCGAACGCTCATTCAGTTGAGCTACTGGAAACGCTGCTTCAAGTTACGTGCTCATTCAAATACACTTCAATTCACATTAAAGAAATTGAGTATCCGGACTCTAGCAGAGTCTACTCCAGTGTCAAAGTTACGCAGAAAGTACATAAATGATTTGGGTTGCCTTCGGTGTAGCGAATCACTACACAATATGTGTGCAAGAGACGCAGAGAAGCATCGTTAGTGGCCCAGCTGGCAGGGAAAGCGTCTGTTAGGTAAAACAGGTCGATGGTTCGAGTCCACTACAGTGTATCTGCCCTCGCTCATATTACGAGTCTGGCGAATCCACCCTCATTTACATCAAATCCATTATCAGTCATCCCCATCCAGACGGTACGTAGATGAAACGTACCAAAGTGAACCTTCAGCAGGCGAATCCTGGCGTACAAAGGGAACCCAGCCCGATTTGTGATGAGAACAGATTGGCCAGACAACCATATACCATTGAAATTCAAAAACAGTACCAGAAAGAGTGACCGACTATAGTAATGAGGAAATCACACATCATGTCGGCACCTAGCGAACAGGAACCAATCTAAAAGCTTATTTTTCATGGATGCCGACCAAGACCAGCGGTTACTTTGACCTGTAGTAGCGATTAGAGCGAAGAAGAAAAAGAATACATACTTTGATCATGAAATTTTCGTAGGACGTTGTAGTTTCCGGGAGATTTGTTCTCTTTTTCCATTTTGCCGGCTCGCGTTCGTTGACAGGTTCCTGGGATAAATGAGAAAATCGTGGTAAATTAAACAACTCGAAAAGGAAATACACATTTGGCACTAGGCTACACGACTTATCAGGCAAAAGAATGGCAGCTTTTAGTGCTGATGAACGAAAGGCCGAGAAATCAGCTGCCGCACAGCTGTATTTACTTGAAAACGAGTACGAAACTCAAGGAGTGAGCTTTGATAAAACAAACAACGGAAAAACGGGGAGGAACCTGAACATCGTTTGTCAAAGATGAATTTATGTTGATAATGTGGGGAAATTGTGGAATTTCAATGCAGATTTCGTCCTGTGAGCAAAGTCAATCTATGCTTGAAAATCAAGAAGTTCATCCTCATTGGGAATCACCAGCAGTGCACATCTCACAAAACTCCAGAGAGTCTCGAACCCGCGACCTCCCAGTTGATATTTTGGACACTTAACTGTTCTGTCATGAGCTACGGGTGAGCGGTGCGATTAACTCGCACATAGACAGAATATAGTGCCGCTTATGCTTCAATCACAATATCCACATCACATTGTCACACATGTCGACTGGCTCCTCGAACAATGACTTCTCTGATGGACGCCCTGCTAAATGCATAGATTGACTTTGCTTGAGACGAAATCTCCATTAAAAGACGGGTTTCGTTATTCGAAGACCGACTGTCACGGCCATTCGGTTGATGACTGATCGGAGACAACCGTAAGCAAAAGAGATGAGATCAGCAAATCAGGTGCTCACCAGTACACAAACCTAAAGATGTCTGAGAATGCAAAGTACCAAACTCTATGGTGACCTAAGAAAGATGTAAAGTGTTACCAGTGAAAACATGACTAGCCGAGTCAATTAGGACGGACGGGAGTGACACAAAGTGGAGTCTTGGAATAAAGCCTTTTTCATACGCAATATTTAACTAGTATAACAAAATGAAAGCTACAAATAATTTCCAACTAATGCTCACTAAAAACAAGTTATTTACAATCACTGAGTGAAAGGCTCGCATACTGTTCAGGTACACGTGAGGAAGATGTCATCATTGTAGTGTATTAGACCAGAAGCTTTTGTGTTTCCTGCTGGGATACTGCCAGATTGTCCAAGGCCATATAGGGGCAGACGAGATACTGTGGTTGGGTTGCAACCACAGGCTTCCGGTTACTGAGATCGTGGCCTAACCACTGAGCTGTCTCGAGCTCAGAAATAAAAGCAATAGCAAAATGGGATACCAACTGACACTTTACGAGATGAAGGTGCAAGCACACGTATCGGGCCGTACTGGAGAAAATTCCCGTAAATCAGTCTTGTGCTACTTGGTTGTCCATCCAAAAACGTGGGCAACTCCATTGAGAAAGAGGCAGAGATCTGCGCCGACGGTATCTATTCCCAAAAGCGGGAAAGATAATTTCAATTGAAATCTGTTTAGGTTGAGTTGGTTCGCGAAAGGTTTTATACCATCATCCTTTCGGGTGATGCGAACTCCCACGATCATCATCATCATCATCGACAGCATGACATCAGTGTTCAACACCGATGCTTCACTGCCGTACAACCATGACTTATTTGAAAGCCTTATTGTAAAGAAAAGAATAAAGGTTGATGGGGGAGGGACTTAGTGCTAGCCTAACACAATCATTCCGAGGTGCCTACACCTCCCACGATAGTCGGCCGAGTCCTGCAGAAGATCAGCTGGGTTGTGAGTTCGGAGTGCAGAATTGGAGCTAGGACGACGGAGAGTGACTCTCTCCGCCATGTGGTGCTCATCATTTGTCCTACAGCATCACGAATTTTCCCCAATTTCCCAACATGGAAACTAGCGGGCCGTGAAGGCAGTTTTACCATGCGGAAGCAACCAAACGACGAGGAGAAACAAATTAATATCACCCTTCATTCTGAAAGTACACAGCCGGACTGACGCGGCTGTCGGTGTATGTTTGATCATTCGGTTGCCAGCAGGATTTTGTTGGATGATGAGTGAATAGCAAACCTACCACCTTAAGCTGACCACTGTAGCTCAGTAATACCTAGCTGGCCGGTTCGAAAACTACCGGAATTCGACGAACGCAGTGTCAGTAAGGCATATGTTGGTGGTTGGTGTTAACATTTGAAAGAAGCTACGCTCGCAGCTTTCGAAAACGTCAATTCAATCACTCTGATAGGATTGGAACTGGATTAGCTCGTGTTGATGGCAGCCGGATCCCCGGGGGGTGAGCATAAGAGAAGACATATCCATGGGTTAGACAGGTGCGTCTGAGCCCCGCAACCAACTACGTTTACTAGTCCAGGCCTTAGCTACGCCATCCGAATTTCTGACCTTATAACGAACGTCAACACTAGTCAACTTCCAAGGACTGAGAGAGGATGAGGACGAGAGTGATGACGGTGACGATAATGACAATAATCGAGTAAGTATATACTGTGAACTTCCAAAAGAACCAACATTAGACTAGAAAACTGAAGAAAGACAGGTCTATTAAACCCTCACGGAATTCTCGCCCCATTATGGGGCGGGACGTACTTCCTTAAGCTCACTGACGCAGACGGATAAAATCCGGAGCAGCTGGTGTTATGTATTTCCGCACCAATCAGAATGATCTATTAGTCTCATGATCACCCACGAATACGGCCACAGTGAAATCAACGTGGTTTTCCCATATCGCATCCTGGTTTTGTGGAATCGTTCGGCAGCAAAGCGGCCCTTTAACCTGGCGGAGGCGATCCACCTGAGATCACCCATTCAAGCGGAAAGCCGAAATGAATGAAGTGAAACCTACTCTCCACCTTTCCTTCAGGGAAGTCCCCCCGAACAGCATTGTAACAGCGATTGCGGCCGACTGAACCAAAGGTAAACTGGATAATGGAAAACTGCACACACATCACTCGCTTGAACAGTCTCACTATTCTGGTTAGCCGCACCAAAGATGGAAGGCACTGGTCTGGGGATTCACCCTTATTAGAGCTCATTGGCAGTGCCCGCAACCACCTACAGCATATAGGTAACTCAATGGCCTGGAAGTGATACCCGATTCCAAGATACTTTGCTCCTGCATTCTCATCACAACTCAACATCAATAACCTCTGGCGTGGTAATCAAAGCAGGATAGAAGTGATACTGACTGCCCATAATTGTTGCTCTCATTCCTACGACCCGGAATCCGAACACTTCACACGCACCAGCTTAACTGACCGGGAAGGCACCGTGAGTTTGAATAACTGAACTGTACCAGAAAGACTCAAAGACCAAAGACTTCCAACTGCGTCAAAGTAACTGGTCGCAGCGCTGACCCCATAACTGACTATCTCCCTCTTCATAAGAAACAAGGAACCCTAAAATACGCGCAGTCAATGAGTCGTTTGTTATTTTGGGACATATTCTTTCGCCTCCAGAGTGTTTTATGGAACGCCCAAGTAAACAAAGCTCAGGTGTTACCAACCGGCTCTTGGGGCCTTGGAGGTCAGAATTCAGTAGATTCAAACGTTTATATTATTTAGAAAAATTGATGTATACGTGTTATAACTTGCTGAACGGTAGTACAACTCTGTGTCGGTCCCTTGGCTTCCTGCTCCGTCCACTATGGTATAGCAAAAGGCACGGTAGCTCTACACAGCCCTTTATGGAGACAAAGGAAAATCATTACAACTGTATACATATAGGGTAGTCACAGAGTGTTCCACAAGGTCGTGCCAGAATGTCCGTGAGGGGGCGAGAACCATCGAGTCAAGGTGCTTGACTCGGATTGGCTGGCATTCTGACCAATCAGGGCATGCCTACGTCTGTCCCGTGTCCTGCACGTGACACGCGTCCAAATGATGTGATGTTCGGTTATTAGGAACGGCTGGCCCCCGAACAATACGTTTACTGACTCTACAGTACAAGTTACTATACTGACCATTTCTGCCTTACTGCCACACCCTGTCGCACAGTGGCACGGTCACCGACCAAAATGTATCAACACTTCACAAAAAGTCAGTATGTTAGAATAGTTTTACTGCATTAGGAACACGGACACAAATGTTTTTAATACACTTGAGAAGCTCCACCAAAATAGTGACTCAGGTGAATTCGACGGAAGAAGTGCGTCAGTGCAATTATCCCAAATGAAGTGAACCCCTCGGAATAGAACGTATAAAATTATTTCGGCGAGCCGTAGACAGAAAGGAGTACCAGTAAAAATACACTGACATCGCTGGTGGACGATTCGGAACAGTACACAAAAGGGGGTGCAAAATCTCAGCCGATAAGTCTGTGACGGCATTTCATCTGCGATTTGATAGTATTTTCAAGTAATACTAAAGGTGTGCATATCCTGCGTATAAGCTCACATCTATGCACCTGGACAAATCGATCTTGTAAGTGAGAACTCTGGGTAGGTGATTGTGGATAAACCAGTAAAAGTACTAGAGCCACAATCATGCCCACAGCAGTGACTGCAAAATTCCGAATACAGAATGAGCCGTGAGGTGTCGTTATCATATAACGCTTTATCTATGACACCGTTCCGTCGTTCAAAATTCAGTAAAGCGCATGACATGGCAGTTATGCGCCGATATGTATTAATGATGTGCTGTTGTCAATGATGATGCGAACAGTTGAGTGTTTTGTGTCATTGAAATATTGTTGAACTTCCAAATCAACTCACCTTTGAGGCAACCTTGTAGTAAGGTACTAATTCTACATTCAATTCATCCATCAGACGTTGTGCCTGTTGCAGTAAAAAGTCGCCAGCAAGCGGTGATCGAACGGTCTCCTGGGTCAGCACAAGGCCATCGTAAACAGGGATAGCTGACGTATGAATAGCCCCGCTGTCTAGCACAAGTCCTGTATGGCGACCATTCGCAAAACAGGTCAGTGCTGCATTCTTTGCCACGTAGAAAGCAGGTATCTATGAAACGGAGAATGAGCGCATTCGAATTTTCACTTACCTTAAACTTTTCAAAGAGAACCTCAGCAATTTTCTCCCTGTGATTCTTAGTGTTCCATGCCGGTTCGGAAAACAGAATGGGATGGTGATTACTTTCCTCCGGCACTAGATATTGTAATATATATTGCATCACATCTTCAAAAACATCCCAATCTTCAACTAGTCCCGGAATGAGGAACAGAGGATGAAACCTACTAAGACCATCTTTGAGGAACGATTGTAATTCCATGCCTCCACGAGCCACCATGACATTCTGGCCTACGATTCGACGTACTGGCTTAGTATCAGTAGCGGGGATCGTTCCGACGAGGGATGGCATGTCCATCTTTAGGAACCGGCATCAGTAGCAAAAAGTGCAGATAACGACAAACCTTCGGAGTATCTTCACCGGCGAATCCAGCTCTCAGTGAATGAGAACCAAAATCAATGACTAGGGCCCCAACTTCATCTTTAAATTCAAAAAGGATGAAGTCTGCTGTAAAAGACTTACCACTCATTGTGCAAAGGGTATTAAATGACGTAGAAGAAAAACCTGAAGACGAATAGAGGCCGGAAAATGAGTTGTTTGAATATATGTGCACAACTTCCCTTGCGTATGAGATGCCAGGTCTAACAGTTGCGTAAAAAATCCAGTGGTGTCTGACCCAGCCGAACCCTCTGCGTTCAGATCACAATGCGTTAAACATTCATAATCTCTGTCTTAACATTTTCATTATCAGATCCATGCTCCGTCACGAAGAAACTGGACCATACCGTGGAGTAGCAGTTTACGTGACTCTGTGGGCTATTAAGCAACGCTCGCAAAATCTCATAGCAGATTGGTCAATGGTGAGAGGTTTGACCAACACAGCCTCCTGGTCCTTCAAGTTGGGGGATGGAACATGGGTAATAAAAATAATAATAATAATTGTTCAGCTGTAGCGCCCTTTCGGCGCCTAGCTGCCATGCCACCCGAAGGTTGCACGAGGACTGGGATACTGCCAGGTTGCCCAAGCCTAGACGGGGGAAGTCGAGAGGCAGAGGTCGGGTTCGAACCTGTTCGAACATGTGTGGAAACATGTTGTTTAAAAAATGCAGTTCACTGACGTTCCCCGCCAAAGACTGCTGCATTATTTTTGGGCTTTTGAGTCAAAGGCTTGGGTCGATGGCCCAAATCGTCCTATTGTGTAGTGTGGGCACTGGTGTGGGCTATATACGACAGGGCGGGTAAGCGAAAATAGGCTACTGTTGACATCTTCCTTTGACGTATTCCACACACTTTTCCATCCCACTCTCCCAATCCAACCTATAACTCCTTGCAGGTCCATCCGTTAGGACTGGTGAACCCGTTCGTCTTGCGTCGGATCTGGCCGCAGAATCTGTGCAGTAGCAGAGGCTGACAACCTCAGGCATCTCGAAATCAACCTTCAAGCCTCAAAGCCCGGTGTATCAGGCTTCGAACTCTGAAGGAAGCAGGACAACAAACTGTTCTTGCCCTCCGCCTGGCATTGATGTTGGCTTCTGGCTTCTCGCACTGGATCCGCCTGGCATTGATGTTGGCTTCTGGCTGCTCACTGCTGGTGATCCAGATTTGATTGCGGTAGGATGAACAGGGGTTTGCATCGTCCAGAGTGACCGGATGGAAGAAACCTTGCTTAGTTGTCCGTGAAGATGTTTCATAAGCAGGAATTCGATCTGTTTTTTTTTGCGCGTAGGCCACAACAACTCTAATACGGCGAGGTAAAAGCTCAGATATCGCTGTGGTTTCCGGAGATGGGCGAGATGGCTCAAGTAGTTAGAGCGCGAATCTAGTGACCGGAAGGTCCGTGGTTCGAACCCGGCCTCTGCCTCTCAACTTCCCCTGTCCCCTGGCAGTATCCTACCCCTCGTGGTTCCTTCGGACGGCATGGCAGTTAGGCACCGAAAGGGTGCTACAGCTGAACGACTTGAACGATATCTGAATCCGCGTCTTGGATCGGACTACGTGCGCACACACAACAATGGGATGAATGACTTCAGCTATGTGCTGATTCCAGCGTGCTTCTATGCAGTACTAACTGAAGTCAGCTGGCCGCATGTCGTCCTCCAACAGCGTGACAACCACAGACCCAAACGGATTGTATCGCCATCACCTACAATGGCGCGGACCAACAACTGACTGTCACTCGATTGGAAACGATTGTGTAGATCCTTATTATGTATTCATCCGGAGTAAGCTCCCTCTTTGTCTTCCAGAGACGCGTAAGGTGCGAACAAATCGCCAAGCAACTGAAAGGATGGGAGATACCGAAGTCAAACGAACTTACCTGAGCCGTCTTCTGGACTCTTTTCCTGCTACTCTATCGTATGATGTCACACCTACTTGAGCGAAGTTGCCATATCTTCAGACGGTGCCGGATGTTTCGCCTGTGGCATTGCGCTACTGGGTCAGCTCAATAACTGGATATCAGAAAGAACAATGAGGACCCCTGGACCGAACATTTTGAGTAACAATTCTCGTCGCTACCTGCTACCACTCGTCTTTTCCACGAAATGCAGAAGAATTTGAACGGTGAACCTGGAACCCGCCGGGGCCTCAGAGAGAAACTGCTCTTCTAGTCTGGATGACTTACAACTCACAATATTCGAGAATGGGACTGAAGTCCCCAGCTAGCGCTCTTCTGATCCACTTCCCTTTATTTTGGAAAAGGAGACTGTCGCAGGTAACTGGATAGAACCACTGATAGTACCGATTTTTAAAAAAGGGGCCCGTGGTGGGTATGGCAATGGCACAGAGAGCAGCTCGACTCCAGTCGAAACAAGACTCAATGTAACTTTTCCATTGTCGCCCTGTGGTGGCCCGTGAAACATTGGATCGAGAGCAAAAAGCGAAGTCCCGGCCTGGTAGAGGTTGCGTTGATTGATTCTTCTGCCAGGTACTATAACAAACCATGCGTATAAACGACCCACAGTTTTTATATTCCTGGATTCCAAAGGCGAATTCGATTCACTTGACCGGTCTGCTCTCCTTACCATGCTTCGTCATCAATGTATTCCCCAGAACCTTATCAATATAATATGTTTTTCGTATTCTCAGACTTTCGGGTGAGTGAGAGTAAACGGGGAGCTTCCTAAAAGCTCCCGTACACAAAGTGATGTTTGGCAAGGATTCCCACTGTCTCCATTCATATACAAAACAATGAAACGCATGCTCGAATTTCTTCAAAATCCTGGAGTTCGTTTTCGAAGAGAAAAAATAAAAAAAATCGAAAATCATTCAGTTTTAGCAATCTTTCAGTGCCTAACTGCCATACCACCAGGTTGCACGGGGGTTGGGATACTGCCAGATATCTTGAGTTTACACAGGAGAAGTCGAGAGGCAGAGGTCGGATTCGAACCATGAATCTTCCGGTCAATAAACTCGAGCTCTAACCACTTGGGCCAGCTCGAAGAGGAAGCACAGGACGAACTTGCCAATACCATTCCGTCTTTTGGCACGCGCTTTGCGCCCGAAAGGTGTAAAGTTGTGCTCCCGGATATGCAGTCACTACACAAGTTACTTGCAATCCAAGGATGGATATTCAAAATTGTGGAGAATTTTAAGTACTTTGGATGTTGTATTAGTTCCGATTGTAATGTGTAGATGAGTTCAATGTACGAAAATCTAAGCCTCCGGTCGAGATTGCTGATTTGGGACACCTACGCCGGCAAGGGGACATATAACTGAATCTACAAGGCACGTGTATCAGGCTACAATACGGCTGTTTTGTTGCATGGCTGTGATACGTGGCTCCTGAGAGCAGCCGAACTGAGACACCTTCAGGACCTCGACAACCACTGTCTCAGAACCATAGTTCATGTAAACTGGTGCCGGCGAATCAGTAACAAAATAATTAGAAAACGGTAACCGGTTGTGCAGCAGAGACCTGATCGAAGAATGTGTCCAGCAGCAAAAACAGCGGTGATTTGATCACATATTACCTATGGCAAATCATCGTTTTCTGAAAACATTGTCCAATACAGGAATGGTGGAACAAGCAGAGGTGGTCAAACTGGCAGAGGGAAGAGTAGGTGTAGAGTTGGTGATGGAGTCTGCGTGATCCTCCCGGTGAAAGTTTGGAAACGCTGCTAACAGATGTCAGTGACAATCTTGCTTTCTATTTCCATTCTGACTATTTGAAAGAGCGCCTGGAGGTTCAGGCACCCCGGAATGATTGTGCTGGACTACCCTTTAAGTTCCTTTTAAATTTGTTTTTATTCTTTCTCTTACAACAAGGCTTTCAAATAAATTGCTTGTACGGCAGCAAAGTATCGGCGTTGGGTACTGATGTTGTGCTTTCGACGATGACGATGATGAGGATCCATGCCATCCTCACGTCCTTTTGACATCTCTCGAACTGTCCACTGAAATCATGTCAACGATAGTCCTATGTGTGGTGGGTGACGAATTCTCAGCACACTAAATCGTAGCAAATCTACAAACAACATGAATAAACAGATAGACAGATAAACTTCAGTTCGTGTCTGAAGGACGGTTTATAGGTAGATGGTGGTCGTCTTGGCTTGGGCGGTGGTCGTCTTGGCTTGGACACGAGACGCACGGACAACCAACGCCGCTTACTTCAGATGTGTGCCGATCACAGGCTGTCCCTTTGCAGTTCGAATTTCCGGAACAGCAGAAATCGCTCGACAACGTGGTGCCCACCACCAACCCAGCGCCGAATCCAAATAGACCACATCGCCGTCAGTTATCGGCGGCAAGGATCAATCACCGCCTGCCGCTATTTCTGGAACACCAGCGTGGACTCCGACCATGCACTTGTACGCTGCTGCTTTTCATTGCGCTTTTCAGGTGTACGCAAAACGCGCACACCTCGCTTAG